CTATGAATTTGGACAAATGTATAATGACATGTATCCATCATTAAGTATCAAACAGAGTATTTTCACTGCCCTAGAAATTCTCTGTGCTTTGTGTATTCATTCTCCCTCAGTTCCAACCCCCAACCCTGGCAATCACTGATCCTTTCACTCTCTCCACAGTTTTATGTTTTCCAGAAGGTCATATAGTTGGAGTCATACAGTATGTAGTCTTTTCAGATTGGCTTCTTTCACTTAGCAATATACGTGTAAAGTTCCTCCATGCCATTTCAGTTTTTCATAGTTCATTTTTTTTTAGTCCTAATAATATTCCACAGTTTATTTATTCACTCAAGGGCATCTTGGTATTTCCAAGTTTTAGCTTCAAGATTCTCTCCCTCTGCCCCTCCCCCCCAAAATAAGGGATTATTTTGAAATCTTGAAAAAAAAAAAAAAAGAGACCCAGGAAAGAAGAGCAAAGCAAATCAAACAAATTAGAAGGAAAAAAAGAAGATCAGAGAAGAAATAAATTAAATGGAACAGATTAACTGGTAGAGGAAATGAACAGAACTGGAAGCTTGTTTGTTGAGAAGTTCAGCCTAACTGATAAACCCTGAGTTAGATTGATGAAAAAAGGGAGAGAGAGAGAACACAAGTTACCAATATCATGATTGAAAGAAGTGTTATCACTACAAATCCTACATATACTAAAAGGATAATAAGAACAATTGATTATGAGCAACTTGATTCCAACAAACAATAATTTTGATGAATTGAATATTTTGAAAAATACAACTTACCAAATTGACCCAAGATGGAACAGAACATTTGAATAGCTCTATAGCCAGTAAACCATAGTAACTCTGTAACTATCAAAAACCTTCCTATAAAGAAAACTTCAGTCCTGATGATGTCACTTTTTTTTTTTTTTTTTTTTTTTTTAAGAAGAGAGAAGACAGGGCGCCTGGGTAGCTCAGATGGTTAAGCGTCTGCCTTCGGCTCAGGTCATGATCCCAGGGTCCTGGGATCGAGTCCCGCATCGGGCTCCCTGCTCCTTGGGAGCCTGCTTCTCCCTCTGCTTCTCTCTCTCTCTCCCTCTCTCTCTCTCCTCCTCTGTCTCTCATGAATAAATAAATAAAATCTTTAAAAAAAAAAAAAGAAGAAGAAGAGAGAAGACAAGTGAACACTTTGCAACTCTCTTTTGTTTTTCTCCAAGGTGGGCTGCTGGGTCTTGGGGGAATGGTGATAGGAGTAATATGAAGCTGTCTTTCATACCTACTTCCGTGTATCTTTTCTTATTCCTGTGCTCCATCCAGGTGCTGTAATCCCTTACCTGGAGTCCTTAGCCTTTGTAAAGGTATTTTTGTGCATGGAGTGTTTTTCTAAGTAGTATTTCTGTGAGGGTATGGGTGCTGAAAACTCCTATTCCACCATCTTGCTGATGTCACTCCTCTCTCAAAGTTGTCTTAACCTTAGAAAATCAATGTTTTGCCATATTAATAGAATGAAGGAGAAAACCATATGATCATTTTAATACATAGAGGAAAAAATATGACAAAATTCAACATCCATTCACATGAACAGTTCTCACCAAACAAAGAATGTAAGGTACTTATTCAACTTCTAAAGAGCATCTATGAAAAACCTCCAGCTAACATCGTATGTTCATGTTGAAATATTAAATTATTTTCTACTGGAATCAAGAACAAGGCAATGTGCTCAATTTTGGCACTTTTACGCAACATTGAATTGGAGGTCCTAGCCATTGCAATAGAGAAAGAAAAAGAAATAAAATGATAAAGATTGGAAAGGAGGAAGCAAAATTGTACTCATTTTCAGTGTGAAATAATAGGAAAAAATATATATTGGTCTCTGTTCCCAGTTTTTGGCACAAAACTTCTAAAATCCGTGCCATTTCCTAAGTAGTATTAGAACTAGGAACATCTTTTGTTTTAATATTTGGTCTTTGAACCTGGTTCCTGACACAGGGCTCTTGAAACCCTTGTAATTTCCTGAGTGATAGGAATATTTTTTGTTCTAATGAGTTGACTCTGGCTGGGCTCCTTGATAAGGACTGATCACAGGAAAGACCAAGCTATGATTAGAAGCTTGAAATTTTCCGCCATACCCAACCCCATCCCCATTCTCTTGTGAAGGGAGGAAGACTAGAAATAGAGTTAATGATTGATCAAACCTATGTGAGGAAACCTCCATAAAAATTCCCAAAGTATGGGATTCAGAGAGCTTCCAGGTTGGTGAACACATCTACATATGGGGATGGTAACCCAGCCCAACAGTTTGTGTACTTGGCATCCTCCCGACCTCACCTTATGTGCCTCTTCATCTTTCTGTTCATCTGTATCCCTTATCATATCCTTCAGTAAACCTGTTAACATAAGGAAGTGTTTTCCTGAGTTCTGTGAGACACTCCAGCAAATCAGTAGAATCCAAAGGGGGAAGAGGTCATGGAAACCATGATTTGTAACTAAGTCAGGCAGAACTGTGGGCAATCTGGGGACATACTAGTATTTGCAGTTGGTATCTTGAAGTAGGGGGCAGTTTTGTGGGACTGAGCCCTTAACCTGCAGGATCTGATGCTATCTCCAGGTAGACAGTGTCAGAATTGAGCTAAAATTTTGGAAACCCCACTGCTATCACAGAGAATTGCTTGTTTGGGGGGAAAACCCTCATCTGGTGTGGGAAGTGTTGTGAGGGTGGTAGTGGTGTAAAGGAGACACACAGGAGGAGAACTGGGTTTTTCTTAAATAGCAACTAACATGATTGTTTATGTAGAAAACCCTGAAGATCTACAAAACAACTAGAAGTAATAAGTGAATATGCAAAGCCATAGTGTATAAAGCTAAAATTTATAAACTCAATTCTATTATTATCTTCTAACAGGAAAAAAAATTGTGAAATGTAATGGAAAAACAGTTCTGTTTATAATAGGTCCCCAAATCAGATTATTTAGAAATAAATGTAAACAGATATACACCGAAAACCACAGGGCATGGCTGAGAGAAATTTTAAGACTTAAATGAGTGGAAAGATATATTATCTTCATGGATTGGAAGACTCAATTTTAAGATGTAAATTTTTCCTAAATTGATCTATATATTTAATTTAATCCCAATAAAAATCCCTAGAAGTTTACAAACTGATTTTAAAATTTATATGGATGCAAAGGACTTTGAATTGCCCAAATAATTTTTAAAAAGAAGCACAAAGTTGCAGGACTTACTATAAAGTTCCAGTATTCAAGACTGTACTATAAACAAAAGGATAGGTATATTGATAAATCAACAAAACATCAGAGTCCAAAAATATCTCTACACATGTCTAATCAATTGATATTTTTAAAGATTTTATTTATTTGTCAGAGAGGGAGGGAGGGAGAGAGAGAGAGAGCACAAGCAGGGGGAGCGGCAGGCAGAGGGAGAAGCAGGCTCCCTGCTGAGCAAGGAGCTCGATGATGCGGGACTTGATCCCGGGACTCTGAGATCATGACCTGAGCCAAAGGCAGCCGCTTAACCGACTGAGCTGCCCAGCACCTCTAATCAATTGATTTTTAAATAAAGGCAGAAGGCAATTCAATGGGAAAAGGAAAGTCTTTATTTGAAAGTTGATAGGAGTATAGATCTTCAAATTTCTCATAACAAAAAAATTTTGTGACTATGGTGATGGATGTTAATAGAATTGTGGAGATCATTTCACAATACATACAAATAATGAATTGTTGTGTTATATACCTGAAACTAATATACTGTTACATGCCAATAAAAACATAGTCTTTCAATATGGGGAAAAAATGCATTGACTCTTATCTTATATCACACACAGTAATTAACTTCTAATGGGTCATAAACCGAACTGTAAAACCTCAAACTATAAAACTTCTATCAGAAAACAGGAAAAAAAATTTGTGACACTGGGTGAGGAAAAGATTTGTTAAACAGAAGATGAAAAGCACAAAGGAAAGACATATTAGAATGCACTTCATTAAAATAAAAAACATTTACTTCCCCAAAGACATAACGTAGGAAAACAAAACCAAAAGACAGGCCACTGATTGGGAGAAAATATTTGCAAAATATGTCTGTCAAAGGGTTTATATCTGTAGAATACGTAAAGTACTCTTAGAACTCAATTCTTTTTTTTTCTTTAAAGATTTATTTATTTATTTGGCAGAGAGAGACAACGAGAGGGGGAACACAAGCAGGGGGAGTGGGAGAGGGAGAAACAGGCTTCCGGCGGAACAGGGAGCCCCATGCGGCGCTCGATCCCAGGACACTGCTTAACGACTGAGCCACCCAGGCGCCCCTCAGAACTCAATTCTTAAAAGAAAGACAGCCCATTTAAAAAAAAAATGGGCATAGGATTGGATATTTCACAAATGACCAGTAGACACATGAAAAGATGCTCAACATCACCAGCCAATGGAAGATGCAAATTAAAACCACAGTGAGATAATACTACATACCCACTAGGATGAATTAAACCAAAAAAATCTGATAATACCAAGTATTATCAACAATGTATTCTATATTTTGACAGTGATGTTTTCATGAGTTTATATATAAGGCAAATTTAATCAAAGTGTACATTTTTAATGGATATAGCTTATTGCATGTAAATTGTACCTTAATGAAATTGACTTAAAGATACGCCTATGGAAGAATAACAATTTATTATCCCAATGGGCCAAGATATAAAGATGCTTGGGTACTTATTAAAGTCGTAAGTGTAGCTGGGATCAGACTTTAGTTCTTAACCCAGACTGTTTTACCTTCCAATGTGATCTCACAGGGCTGAGCACAGAATGCAGAATTGAAGGAAGGAAGAAGAAAGAAGGGGAACAAGTGTCCTAAGAATGGATCTGCTGTAATCCAGACCCTTAGTCTTGTCCCAACCAGGGATGTCAACATATTTCCCCACGGGACTGAAGACATGCCTTGCTGTTAACTTGAACATTTTTCATCTTTTAAAATAGCTTCCTTATTTTTCTTTCTCTTCCCTAATCATGACAGAGTCACTTCGAATGATATAGACATATATGGAAACAAAGTCCGAGTGACTTATACTATGCACCGTTAAGGGATGTGAATAAAGAGCTCTGGACACATCTCCTCCTGCCACTTGATGAGTGAGTGCTCCTTGGAACCTATTTCATGGATTCCAAAGTATGTAGCTAGAAGAACATAAAGAATCAGATGGATTAAAAGTACGTAAAGAATTAGAATCAGAAAATGCAGAGAATGTGTTGAGTTAATGCTTTTTACAAATAACATGTAAATTTACCAAATTTCTTTCCAGCTTATCATTTTTAATATTTTAATATCCTATATATTTTGTATGTGTTTTCTCTATGCTTTTCTTGGGCTTAATGATAGGTTCATTGAAATTTGATATTTTTTTCCTCTAAGAGGACATTTTATCATCTTGAAATTACTGAGGTATTAAACTGTTGTCACATTACATTTGATGTTAGTGTGCAGGTTCCACTGTAAGAAAAAAAAATGAAAGATAATTCAAGGGAGGAGCACTTACTTAAATATGCGTTCCCCGGCCTTTGTTATCTAACTGAAGTGAAATCAGGTCATCTTTCAGGATTTCCAGTACGGAACTGTGTCCATGAAGGGCTTGAACTGCATAGGTTACATTTCTGAAAAGCCCCTGTGTTCAGATAGCAAAAAATCACTTTGAGAAATTGAAAAATGTCCTCTGTGAATCTGAATTTTTATAGCATACTTTACTTGAATTTATGGGAAACAAATAATGTAACAAATGAGTTCATGGGAAATAATCTAAATTTGATGTTCCAGAGAAAACTAGCGCTTATTGAACGCCAGCTGTGCTTTGGGTACTGTAAGGTACTTTATGCATATGATCTTATTTAGCCCTGTCAGTCCTACAGAGTAGGTAGTACCATTATCCCCATTTTGCAGATGGGAAAATGCAGGCACAAAGAGATGATGTAGCTTCAGGATTTTCACCCTGGCCTCCTGTCTGTGGAGCCTGCACCCTCCCAGCCCTGGCCAGACCGCAGGAGCAGCTCTGCGCTCCTCCCCGCACCTGCCCTCTTCTTCCCCACCCACATTCGTCTTGTTCGTCGTCCTGGAGAGCCCAGCCTGCCCTCTCCACTGGTCGCGTCCTGTCTACCCTTCACTGTCTGGCCACTTAGACCTTCTGTATTCCCACAGCAGCTGCTCTGCCTGATTTCCTATTGTCCAAACAGAATTGCTCCCTAATGTTCGGGCACTAACCTCAGAACCAGCTGTCCTGCCTCACATTGCTCTTCCCCCAAACCATCCTATGTAATCCCCTTAAATACATGTTCTTAAAAGCCTTGGGTGGCTCCCACCGTTGTCCTTGGAATCCTAGTCTGGAGAACACGCAAGGCCTTCCAAACTCTTTGACACACTCCCCAGTTCTAGTCAGATGTGGAAACACCAACCCCAGACAGGTATTTCTCAGCTCATTTCAGTGTGCTTGGCATATAATAAACACTTAATGTTAGTTTTCATTATTTTGCATTTAATATTGGAAGATAATATTCATAGTTACATAGTTCAAACACTAAAAGTCTAGAAATGGATCGTTGAAATGTCTTCTACTTAATTCTCGGGCACATCATCCCACCTCCCATTCCCCATCCCCCACACATTAAACTATTAAAATTAATTTCTTTTTTTTAAGATAAATGACAATATACATTGGCCTACATGTTGCCTTTTTCTACTGAATACATCTTGGGCATCTTTTTGCATCAATAGCTGAAGAGCTTGCTCATTTCTTTTTTTACAGCTGCATAGAAATTTTTATAGCTGCATGGACATATCATAATTAACCATAACTTAATTATTCCCCGATGATATACATTTATGTCCTTTCCAGGTTATAAACAAAGCAAATATCCTCATTCACACTGTATGCATGAAAACTTATTTGTAAAGTACATCCCTAGAGGGAGAAGTAGGAAAATGATTTATGCATTTGTAATTTTAATAGATACTGCCAAACTGTCCTACTTAGGGGACATATCGATTTCTACTTCCAACAGAAACAAATGAATCAACAGTTTCCCCACAGCCTTGCCAACACACTGTGGTATTAAACTTTTCATTTTTGCCTATAGATGGGAGAAATGCTGTTTTAGTGTAGTTTTAGTTTGCCTTTAAAAAAAAAACGAGTGAGTGTGAGCATTTTTCAAATGTGTAAAGGCCATTTGTTTTTCTGTTTTGGCTGTTCATACCCTTTGCACATTTTAAAATTGTTCTGCGCTTTCCCTTATCAATTTACAGGTAGTGTATATGTTATGGAAATTAGCCCTTTTTCTCTTATACGAGATGCAAACATTTCCCCAGGTTTGTCATTTGTCTCTTGTTTACGGTGTTTTATTTCCTGCAGGTGTTGTTGATTTTGACATTAACTTGTCATTTTCTTTCATGCCATCAGGACTTTAAGTCATGTTATAAATGCCTTTCCCAGTCTGAGATGATATGAATTTTCCCTTATTTCTCCTAGAAGTCTGGTTCTTTGACTTCCCACATTTAAGTCTTTGAGCCGTCTAGAATTTACCCTGGCCCATATTATGAGATAATGTTCCCCCCTTTTCCCAGATGGCCGCCAATTTATACCAACACCATTTATTAAGTTATCCTTATAATCCCCACTGCTTTGAAATGCCATCTTTACGTGCCAAAGTCCTGCATGCACCTGCCTCTATCCTTGGGCTTTCTATTCTGTCTGGTTGGTTTGCTGATTGTTCATGTGCCAGGACCCATCTGTTCACGTACTGAGCATAGCTGAAAATCAAGCAGGGCTGGCTTTCCCTCGCAGATCCTTCTTTCCAGAGATCTCTTTCCTATCAGCATTTACTGATTCTTTAAATGTGGTTTTCAGTAATTAACAACAGCAACAACAAACGACAAACAACAAAAATCCTTCCTGTTGGATATTTTTTCGTGATCATATTAAGTTTATAAGTTAACTTAGGAAAACTTGATGATTTTGAATCTTACTCTCTAAGAATACAGTCAGTTCTACTTTTGTTCCATCCTACTCCTTTGTCCTGCAAGAACAGTTAGATTTTTGTCAAACTGGTTTTGTTATGTTCCTTCCTAGGTATTTTATCCATTTGTTGCCAATGTGCATGGAGCCTTCTCTTTCACTATGTTTTCCCTTAGTATGTATGGAGACTTTTGGTTTCTGTATATTAATTTCACAGCTTGCGAGCTTAATGTGTTTTCTTATTTCTAGTGGTTTTTGTTTTTAATTGATTCTCTTGATTTTCCAAATAGTCATATAATCTACAAATAGGAAAGCCTTGCCTCCTCATTTACAATATTTATTCCTCCGGTATCTTTCTCATCTGGTTGCTTTATTTTATTTTTAAAGATTTATTTATTTTTGAGAGAGAGAGAGCTAGCATGGAGGTGAGGGGCAGAGCGGAAGGAGAGAGAATTTTCATTCAGACTCCCTGCTGAGCCCAGGGCTTGACCTGGGGCTCCATCTCGACACCTTGAGATCACGTCCTAAGGCGAAGACAGGAGTCGGCTGCCCCTACCAACTGTGCCACCCAGGCGCCCCATGTCTGGTTGCTTTAGATAGTACCTCCAGAACAGTGATAGTTAATGGAAATAGTACCAACCTGACCTTTTTCTAGCTTCAACAGGAGTTCCTAGTGTTTCCTCATTAAGCCCAGGCAGCCTTTTGGTCTCAGACTGACATCTTAAAAAAAAAAAATCATGTTCATCAGTTTCTCTTTCATTAAGAATCTTTTAAAAATTCAGTACTGGAGATTAAATTGTGATAGGTGATTTTTCAGTATCTATGGAGCTGGTTATGTTTTTCCCTGTAACTTACCAAAATGATGAATCATGCTAATAAATTTCACATTGAATTAGACTTGCATTCCCATACTAACTCCAATTAGTCTTCGTACATTCCATCTATATATTTTATTTAGGATTTTTGCATCAATATTCATAAGATTGATCTATAGTTTTCTCTGTTTCTTATATAAATTCATCTTTTTAGATTTTCCCTCTCTTCTGGAGTTAGATTGGTAAATTCTGTTTTTCTTTTTTTTAAGATTTATTTATTTTAGAGAGAGAGAGAGCATGAGTGGGAGGGGCAGAGTGAGAGGGAGAGAGAATCTCATACAGACTCTGCACTAAACGTGGAGCCCCATGCAGAGCTGGATCTCACAACCCTGAAATCATGACCTAAGCCAAAATCAAGAGTCAGCCCTTACCCGACTGTGCTACCCAGGCACCCCGGTAAATTATGTTTTTCTAGACGTGGGATAATCTCATTCACATTTTTAAATGCATTGGCATGGAGCTCAGCAAAGGAGTCCTTTGGTCCTTTTAATTTTCAGTTTCTGTTGTTATTTCCCGTCATCATTTCTCCTGTTGTGTACTTTTGATTTCTCTTTCCCTTGCCTAGATTAGGCAGAAGTGTGTTTTCAGAGAGCCAGCTTTGCTTTTACTTATTAGTTCTACTCTTTTTTTTTTTTTGAAATTACCGATTTCAACTTTAGTTTTCATTTTTATTATTTCTTTTGTACCTTCATGAACAGTATGCCGAATACATTTACTTTTATTTTTGTTTATTAATATAATTGTATAAGGACATGAATTTTCATCTAAACACAGCTTTGGCTTATCTCCAGTTTTGAAAGGTGGTATTCACATGCATCTTTCACCTTAGCTTTTGTTATTATTTATTGTAGAAGTCACTGGAAATTAAGGAAAGAAGTAAGTTTGGGTCCTAGGATGGAGCTAGGTTAGATGGGCCTTGAGTGGTAGGTGGTAGGTGGCAGGCTTTAGACTTGATGAAAATGGTATTAAGAAGCCATTGGAGGGACACCTGGGTGGCTTAGTTGGTTAGGCACCTGACTCTTGGTTTCTGCTCAGGTCATGATCTCATGGATTGTGGGATCAAGCCCCAAGTTGGCCTCCAAGATCAATGGGGATTCTGCTTGAGATTCTCTCCCTCTGCCCCTCCCCCCACTCACACATGCTCTCTCTCTCTCTTTCTCTCTCTAAAATAAATAAATAAATCTTTTTATAAAAGCCATTGGAGATCTCTGGTTAGGAAAGTAATAAGATGTAAGTGTTGTTTTGAAAATATGAGCATCCACATATTAGTTACCTTATGTAGTACTTCATCTTTTCCGAAACCATTTTGGATAGGAAATGCCTTTTTTGACAATAA